ATTGCTTTGAACGCGCATTATGTCACCCTGTTTCATTCCCTCATAGATAAACAGCAAATCAAACTCTTCGCTCGTAGAATTTTCCCCGAACATATGGATCACTTTATGGCTATGTATGAAAAGGTTGCTGAAACACCCTATGGACAACTCACCATCGATCTAAAACCTACCACCAAAGATAAGGATCGACTGCATGTTAACCTCATAAATGAGGAAAACAGGAGAACAACAGCACAGTCTGAACCTGATCTGCGTAGGGAGAATTTGACTACAACAGAATCTCTGGATAGTCCTCTGACACAAGAAGAGAGATTGCCCCAACATCAGCTCACTCCAATTGAAACCGATTCAGACACGAGTAGTGAGACATCATTGACTATGGCCACGGCTTGCGCAGATTGCGGGGTGCTGATAGATAACATGCACGATCTACAGCGACATATCAAACACTGGTGTCCGGCCAATAGCCTTCAACCTAAGAGAAACCGTGCCAGACTCGAGAGTGATGACGATGACAGTGACTTTGACGACCTAGCCTCTTCACAGAAAGGCAGTGGTCTTGCCGTCAAACCTCCACGTGGGAAGTCAACATTCACTAATATGGAAGCCGAGGAGTGGCAAAATGTAGGCTTACAACGCATCTGGAAGCAGGTGTATGATACGTTTCATGACAAGATGAAACTGCAGAAAAAACAGTACAAGCGACAGGGACGAACGCAAGAATGGATTGAGAGAAGATTGAAACTGAGGTGGGAGGATCTAGTGCGTAGTACTCTCAACTACGCGATGGAATATACCACGTACTTTAAAGAGGCACCTCTGTTTCAAAACATGCTATACAACCTGGGAGACATGAATCCTTCCACGGAACAATCCGTTCTCAAAAATAAAATCAAACTCCTCCTAAAACCCAAGATGAAAGAGATACTGCCTTTGATGGATATGCCGGAAATAGAAAGTGAGACTGAATCTGATAGCCTTTCAGAGGATAACGACGGTTATGACGAGGAGGAGGATGATGATCGGGAGCAGAACGATTAGGCATATATATCCATCACTACTATATCAGTCTAACAGTCAGAAGAGAATGCCGAGTCAACGCCACGCGTCTAGTTTGATTCATATTTTGAAAACACCTCGTAAACTGAGGCGTTTGAACGATAAGAAACGCCGAATTTCCCTCTACGTGAGAGGAATGGTGAAACTGGGACCTCCTGGACGGAAATCGTTACAAGCAATGGATAAAGCATAGACTATAGACAACCATTCAACCTTAAAACAGCGTAGACAAGGAAACATTCAACAGTGCGAAATGTGTTTCAAAACATGGACTCGCTGTTTAAACAATAGGGTCTTCGAGCAGCAGCAGCATGTGTATATGAGTGACTAAATAATGTTCCAGAGTGAATACTATTGTCCATTCGTATATCACGGCTTTGTATGGAACCGATTGACTCGAATCAATAAATGATACGAATGAATTGTTTGTTTTTTCTCAGTTTTCGATCATATTAGTATATAGTCTTCGTCATACTACACCCGTGAAGGTCCCGGGTTATAGAATGGACCTTCAGTAACCCATGCTTATCGGCGACTGACGGGGATCGGTTGGTCAGTCTCGCCGACTCGGATGACACGTGCCATCGGTTCCTAGTTGCACAGATCGCTGCTCATGCTGTTGATCACTGGATTGTCTGGTCCAATCTCGTTTATTGACAGACCACCGTCCTAGAGCTGGAATAATGCCGAGTGTAGCGTAAAACTAAATTCACTCACTCCGGATACCAATACATCTAAAAAGTAATGTCATCATTTAAATGGTGAGTTTAAACGCGTATTTTACCCTTACAAGGACGAGTGCATTCCACACACCCTTCCTGTTATCAATGTGTCACTGTTTACAGTTCGGGCGAACATAACCCTATAGACATGTGTGCGGGCGAGTTCATTCATCAGAAATCTGTCATTTACGATGTGTTTATAAATATGAACTGCTAACCACGCTCATAGTCATGTTGCGTGTCGTGGTTAGAACCGTAATTGATCTATTGAAAGGTGTCATACATTCGTGTTCGGATATAGGTACAACATCTTCACGCACATACTTTCCTACATTATTCAAATGTATTAAATACCGGATACGTTTAATAGACACCAACGAAAGAAAGGTTTAATGAGGGGGGGGGGAATACCCATATTTATCCTCTCTGAAATAACTCCCTTTTAAAATAACAAATGTACAACACATGTTCCCTAACGTATCATAAATACGGGACACTGGTCACACAATTTATGAATGGGAAGCTTCAGGCGAGGCTGTTATGTTGACATTAATTGTAAGGCCGGGGTATGTTGACATTGTTATGGGCGGTCGGTCGCTTAGTCTCTCTGCTATACATTAGCTATGAATAAACCTGCTTCGACATATATTTCCAATAACACATTTTCCTTGTCAAACAATTTTCCATGATAAACTCTGTTCTCTCTTCGAATTAAGGGTGAGTATTGTAAACATGAAAATGTCCTATAGATTGCTTCCATCACTTTCCCAACAAACCTAGCTTCGTGCCGTCACACGGGTACATGTACTTATCAGTTTTCTATCTATTTTCAAAATAGCACGTTCTGAAGTAAAACTGTGCACATCATGTTACACGGTTAAAACTCAAACCGTAGGGCTTATTTATCATCGCGTTAAATGGAAAAGCTAGCATTGAAACATCAACTATGCAAGTCGGGACAGGGCTGAATAATTCTTTACAAATGGTTCACAATAGTACGCAGCGCGGGGTGATTCGAAATCCGGCTGCCTTCAGCGTTATAGACAATGCAGGGTGATGTGACTACCTCGTTCTTGCGCGCTAAATGTAATTAAACGACACTGCTAGCTTGCTGATTGTGAAGTCTTATCTATTTTGTCTATATATTTTTCCATACAGGTTGTCTAACGTTCATGGTGTACAACGTGTAGACCGTACAAGATGAATTTGATCCAGCTAGACGTACATTTTTTTCCTTACATTACCCGGCGTATATCGTGTTGACACAACCCGTCTCTATTGTGGTATGATGTACTTTCAACACACACCCTGTATTCATCAAACCAGGTCGCACGCTTTAGCGAGCGCGGGTTAAACGACGAGGCCACGTCAGTTGTCAAGCGCGCTCAATTCAAACTGGGCTGACGGGTACGGTCTGTCTATTTAGGGCAGCACGTTATACACATAGCTCTATTGAATACCCTTTACTTTTGTTTTCTTATGAATTCTTTTCTGCCTTATAAACACACACCTTTCATTCCCCCTCACCTGTGACGCGCTGTTGATGCATGAGTCATCCTATCCGATCACGTGACTTGGATCAACCAATCACCTTCGCATCCGCCTGGATCAACCGGATCAACCAAAACTACCTTCTGCGGACTTAGACTATACTACTTGAAAGTCTATTGTTTGAGTAGATATACTAGTCTTTAGACAAACATATTTGACGTTTAAGACAATGTTGAGAGTATAGAAAAGACGGCTTCGCTTTGAGCAACGTGTTTGCTTTCAATACGGTGAACGGTGACAATATAAATCGGTATTCGGGTAGATATAATACTATTCTATAGATTTAATCAGGTTTGATGATACATCAGTGACGTTTAAGTTGGATTTGACCGCCCGGGCCAAGTCGGGCGAAACAGTTGAGATCCCCATGTGAATGCACCGAGATGCGAGACGAAAATGAAATGACTTTCTTTAACTTTATCATTATTTAATTGTGGAAATTTGTATCACGATAGTTGGAAGTATTCGATACGTTTCAAATTTTATTTCGTTTAACGATTTCTCTTTTACATGTAACCTAGCTCAGCCACGCTCACAGACCGGCCGACTTCCAGATTTTCAAGCGATTTACTCGCAATAACTTGATTATGCTGGAAGATTTGAGTTTGTTATAATGTCATATGCGTATGTTGCATTAATTCACTGCAAACAAGAAAACGTCTTGTATGGCCATTGGTCGGGAAAATGACTCAAAATTCATTTAAATTGATAAATTCGTGAGCGTCCGGAAAAGCGTCGAGTTTTTCAAGCGTAAAATGGACGGGAAAATGCTTTTTTGCTCCGCCTTGTACAACTGTTAGTGGAAAATCAGTTGGCCACCGTCCAATACTAAACTGGACTCCTTTCACGCCCCAACCCTTTCACGCCCTTATCTGTCCTGAGTATGCATACCTTAGTTTCTGTTTGCACAAAGGAGCGTTCAGCGGCATAGATCTTGGATCAGAATATGATATATATTAGAAGGTGCAGTGCATGAATTATAATTGCCAATGTATGAGCATTTCTTCTGGTAAAAGGGCTTTGATGAATTAATATTTCAGGTTTTTAAATTGGTTAAAATAATATATAACCGTTTTACAAAATTATAGATCTACAGATGTATTTGTACCAAGACAAAAATAATATGCTTGAACACAGGTGTTTTCTCCATTCTGGTACAATGACTTGATGCAACAGGAATGTAATGAGAATGTGTTTGGTGTTATCATTTGTTACCTTATTTGGAAGGTTATCTTGGACCACGTATCCTCTGATTATGTTTGTAAGAACAGAACTTATCCCTGCTTAATCATGCTGTGATCATAATTTTTAGGAGCAAATGTAGTGCAGTGGTGACTACAATGCTGGGAATCCACGCTTATATATAGGCATGTCCACATACACATACCCAGGCAACGTCCACACACACACACACACACACACACACACACACACACACACACACACACACACACACACACACACACACACACACCACAAAAAAACACACACACACAAAAACACATACATATTACAAATATTCGTTTTTACGGACAAAGTGGAATTACTTCGGGCAATGTTAGATAATTTGTTATTATGTTTATTCCTTTTTTTCATAATTTATTGAGATTCTTCTTTTCTAATTATTAATCATATTAAAGTGATCTCTTGACATATTTTCTAACCATTTTTCAAAATAACGTAAAAACACGTAATGATGAACTAGAACCGCACATCAGATATCAATACCATCGTGCACCTGTAAACAGGCTGGTACAAGTATCAAGGTAGGTTATTCATTTGGACCGGGCTTCGATACTTGTTATATATATGAGGTCCCCGTTGGTCTTTGTTGCTGTCTGTCACGTGTTGTGTTTCCAATGTCAACAAGTATACACTTTATGACGTTCCACTGATCTGTAAGTAGCACGTACTGATTCCTTTGTGTTCATTTCCAAATCACAATTATGTATTCCTTAAACGTTTCAGTATTTTTGTTGCTTCTTGCATATTTATTGTGTTTTTAATGTTCTCAATAAATTCGATAAGCAAATTACCATTTTACAAACGGTTATTCCTCAACATGTCTAAAACTATACAGTAGAGGCCTTTCTCGAGTTTCCAATACTCTCAATCCGGTGTTCAGAATTTGATCTGATCCAATGCTCAGGGGCCGATGTAACGGAGACACCATTTGTTCTTGGGCATTAATACGCCTGATAAGTCCTGTAACTCTAACCTATAGGAGTTGGGTAAGTGGGAGGACACCGATCTAGTGGTTATAAAGCCTTCCTTCGTCCTTCACTTCTATTTTGCGTTTTACGCCCAGTTGAATCTGTTTCGGAGGATAATCGAGACTGTTATGGTCGTTCTATATTTACATTCATACATTGTGTGGAAACACAAACACTCTTCAGTATTTCGGTACATGACCCGATCCAGTTCAGTCACACCTGCCAACAAATCACCTGGGTAAATCTGGCCTGGGTTGGTGTCTAGGGATTGCTATGCGTGTCTTTCGAGGTATTGTGAGACTAAAGGCACATAGTACCCCACTACTGATCCATTGATCTTGTGTTGCGTTCACCAACAAACATAACAAAAGATCACCATTCATCGAGCAGGCTGTTGAAACCAGCGCGAGGGCATACGACAGTCTTACTATTTCGATTCGTGTGCGCTTAATGGAGGAAGAACAGTTGAAACATGGGTCATACACATTACAGGCTGGTGTCATCAACTCAAACGTCGAAAAATATCTTAATTCCATACTTACTTTCCACTATTATCGACCCAACTGCAGCGATACATGTTTTGCTGTAAACAAATGTGTAGTATTGCAATTGCTTAAATTCAATAAACCAAATGTTGGCTTCTCCTTTTAAAGAAATAAATGTTTATTAGGATGGCCAGGATATCACTACATCACATGATTACGTACTATTAAAATTCATAATGTTTACATGGTTCATATAGTTTAGACCGCCTCCAAAGGTCTAGTGGTAGAGCGTCCCCCCGGAGAGCGGAAGGTCCGGGGTTCGATCCCTGGCCGCGTCATACCAAAAGACGTTAAACGATTGTACTTGTTGTTAGCCTGTCTGGCGCTCGACATTAAGGGGCAACTACAAGGACTGGTCGGCTCGGAGTCAGTATACTGTGTCTAAGTGGGGTATTCGTGTTAAACTGCGGCATGGCATCTCAGTGAGCTAGCATCAGTCCGGACTAGTACAAGCAACCACACAAACACACACACGTACATGCACGTCGCTATATAAGTGCAATAATCTTGGACGCGACGTTAAACCCCATTTCACCTCACTTCATATAGCTTAAATTAAATATATGTCACATACGTAACAGGCACCCAAAGAAGGCGATACAGATTCTTCATAATACATACGTGTAATAAAATTAATATCCGAAGTGTTGTCTTTGCAATTAATATCAAATAGTCTGGTTATTTTCCAGTTTAAATTCACTTGTCAGACACCCTTGTCAGGCAACAAACACTTTTGTGTGCGAATTGTGTGAGTGGCGGGTGCTACCGGTACAGTTCTGTGTATAACATGTTTGTTTTGTTTCAGCGTTGGCGCCATGGCTCCATACAAGAAGGTATTCGTAATGATGTTATTGATAACACCGTTTGTAGCTCTTGTTACGTACATGAGCAGCTCCAACATCATGACCTCTGACATTCTCGGCAATATATCAAGACTCATTTTCCAAGAGTATCCTCCAGCAAGCATTATATCGGTTTATTCTATACCTAAAATTATCACACCATTCGATCAACATTCGAGTATCCTATCGCATTTACTGACAGGGCACTGGAAAACACGTCCTTTGACAAAAAAGGAAGATGAAGATATATTGAACTTTCTGTCTGACGTAAATGTCCGTTACACCTTACCTAAGAATTATCAAAGGATTGATGGCCTCTGTGGAAATGTTACCCACACAGGATCTAAAACTGCTGAGTGGATAAAAGCCTTGTGTGATCCTAAAGGAACAACCCCGTGCTGCTTCAACAATAAATGTGCTATGAAGTCCGTGGAGGAATGTGTGTGTCCTGATTGCTATGACATGCGGAACCAGAAACATGCTGAATATTCCACCTGGATCCCTTCAGACCCAAGACATGGCTACAAGAAACACAGCTCCCAAGAAGCTTGCAGCATCCTCAGCGGAAGCACGATTCTGTTTGTTGGGGATTCTCTTGTTCGCCATGTATATACAGCTATGGTACTGCTTGTTACAGGGAATATGAAAGATGGAGCCATGAACGAAAAAGTACCACAGAGTAAGTTCAAATAATTCATTGTGTGAGAACTTGAGGTCTGAAATTGAGAAACATATATTGATACACGTACACAGTTATGGCAAAGTTAAAAGAATAAAACAAAACATTTAAAATAGATGAAACAATATAACTGAGGATATCAATGCCACACGTCGGAGGAAAACGTCATTTTTTTAATGTTCTGTATATATTTGAAACTGTACACATGTGATGGATACCTTCCTATATTATATATACACTTCGACGTCAAACGTCAATTTGATTAATACGATTTGATCATTATTTGAGAAAACTATATTCGAGATCATTCTATTAGATACATTTGTGTTTAGAAGCAGTTGTAGTATTTAAAATGTCATAGACAACCGCTCCATTGATAATTTATACATTTTGAATGTTGATTATTTGCTTTGACTTGTTGATCTTGTGTTTCAGATGTTAAGAACTTGTGTAGCGGAATGTATATGTTCACAGAAAAATTGTGTCGACTGCATCTGAGGTATCAGCTTCGTGCTTGCAACGGTACAGTTAACCTGGAACTGAAGTACTTCTTCTCTGCAACATATGGCCCACAATTGAAACAAAGTGTTGCAAATTTAAATAACAAGTCATTACTTTTTGTAGGTATAGGTCCACACAATCATTTTAACCATAAGGAAATTCAAAAGAAGTTTTTGTTACCAACACTGTCCTACATACGCAACAATACGAGACCTTGGCCAAAAGTACTGTGGGCAGCGAGTCATGCTCCGGGTGCGTTGAAGTCCCCGAAAGTGTTGGCCCAGTCGTACGACAGTGTAAAACGATACAATGGCAACATGGAGAGTTTCCTTAGATCATGGAAAGTTCCTATTTTCGATACCTTCAAGATGACGGATGGAATGACGAGTTTTGATGGTCAGCATTATGGGCTTGGGGTGAATGTTGTGAAAGCGAATGTAATACTGAGTTACCTGAATGAATTGAAAAATAAAGGATTGTGGTGAAACCTGTTGTTGGTGTCTATTGTCGTAGTTTTAGCTTCGTTTTGCCATAAAATAACGAAAAAGAAGTATATTTTTATTGGTAAAGTCTGAAATTAAAAACATGCCAGAGATTCATAATTCCAGGCACATGTTCCATAACTCTACTGTATTATGTATCAATAGTTTCACGTTGTTGAACATATGTAAAACTAAAAATGCATTTTACATTTTCATAAGTATCATTGGGTTTGGTAATCATTCATCTTGTAACGTATCAGAATTAGCTTGCAAAGTTGCGGCCATTAGGCACGCCTGAGAAAAGTATGAACGTGGGTTCGAATCCAAGTCTGCCCTGATTCTTGGTTTGTCAGCACCATAACCATGCTCACTGGTTTCACCAAAGTGCTAAACCTCTAAGACCCGCTTCACGTCGGTCTTTCCTCCCACATCAAGACATGACGTGATAACTGAAACTGTTCGAAGTGACGTTAAAGCATCCTCGCCCACGTGTGTATGTTGCATTCAGTGATGAACAGATGAGAAAAGGTGTGGGACAGGACATAATAAAGTTGGATTATGCAGGACAATACAAACATATCTGTCTCCCGGGTTTGGAAAAGGCATGTGATTGATATCAGTCAAAAGAGTGGCATCTTCAGTCGTGCTGTCGAAGCATATGCAAAACAGATATACCAAAAGAGAAGATGAACGTGTTGTATGTCTTTCAGAGGTTTGTATGTTTCCCAAGTTCCTGGTACATTATGTCTATTTATTAACAAAGTCATATACATGTATATTGTTACGTGTCAATTCCCAAATTGAAACAATATGTTAACCTAGAAATATGTACTTAAAAGAACTTGATGTGAAACCAACAAACAACTTGTATACAAGTGAGTGAGTGAGTGAGTTTGGTTTTACGCCGCTTTTAGCAATATTCCAGCAATATCACGGCGGGGACACCAGAAATGGGTTTCACACATTGTACCCATGTCGGGATCGAGCCCGGATCTTCGACGTGACGAGCGAACGCTTTAACCACTAGGCTACCCGACCGCCCCAGTAAACATAAGAGTGAGTACAATATTCAATGGCAATAAATAATATGATGGCAGTGGTTATATTTTTTTTAAGTATCAAAGACAAAAAAAAGGTGGTGAAAGCACAATTCAGTGATAAAAAATATATATTTCGAGATGCGCTCGGCAGGGAATCAGGGATGATGAACGATCCCCACATAGCTGTTCCCAAAGCGATGCAAATGCGTGTGGGTGAGTGTTACATAAACAGACACTTGTCTCCTTATATACTCTAACCAGTTACTGGAATTTTCCATGTAGTGCCCTCAGTCCATCGGTACGAGAACATTAAAAATGTTTCCACAATATTCTATCACCGTCCGCAGTTACACACCACACTAGCATCTAAATCTAGTAACTTCCAGACTAGTGCTTAAATTAAATGGTACTTCATTCCTGACGACTAATCACTGACACGTGAAAATCCGGGGTAGAATAGGTCTTCAGCAACCTATGCTTACCGTAAAAGGCGACTATGCTTGTCGTAAAAGGCGACTAACGGGATCGGGTGGTCAGGCTCGCTTGACTTGGTTGATGTATGTCATCGATCCCAGTTGCGTGGATCGATGCTCATGATATCAATCACTGGATTGTCTGGTCCAGACTCGATTATTTACAGTCCGCCGTCTTATAGCGGGAATATTGCTGAGTGCGGCTTTATAGAACAAACAAATAAACAAAACTGCCCAAATACAATGCAACGAGCGTCGACCGAATCTCAACAGAAACAACGCAACACAGTTAAAATCATTGTTAAACAATAAAATACACTATCATATGCAGTATTCTAATACATTAACCTATTTGCAAACATATGAACCTCGGTCACATCTTTTACTTTATATCAGGTTCTATTAACAAGGCCATAAAGTCCAATACATTATCCATTCAAGTAAATCACATACTAATTACCCGCACAGAATACATATAAGCAATGCTATACATATCGCCATCGTTACATAATCCAGTCATATACACCATCAATATCCAGCAGTACACCCTCCTATGATATAGACCATGCTGTTCATACAGTAACTTGTACACAAGTAAGACTATTGAATAATATGTAGTACGTACATACACCCACTGCATACACAGAAGCCATAGTCGTATTTCTCACTCTACACCAAGTTCTTGTCATACAGATCAATACATCATCCATTCAAATAAACCAGGAATACAAACATACATACATAGCCATGTTCACACTTATATACATAGGCATGTTCACACATATAAACATAGAATACACACATACATACATCAGTGTTCGAAATACCTGCCTGCCCGACCGTCCGAGACGGGTTGATTTCAACTCGGGCTGCCAGATTTTCAAATCCCCCTGCCCGACGGTCGGGTTATATTTCATATGTGAAAATGTTCAAAATATTTCCCGATGATAAGCATTAATTCACATGTAAAGATGAATGATAAAATGTAATAAAAAAAAAACCCCGTTAGCTTATCCTGAGAAACATATGATTTTAGTGCGCAGGCAGGTTTTGGTCAGGGCTGGCAAGTATTTCAGCTAGCCAGTCCTATGGTCTGGCTGAAATGTTTGGGAGTTTCATACCCTGCATACATGCATAGGAATGTTCACACATACATACATAGATATGTTCACACATATATACATAGACATATTCACACATACATACATAGGCATGTTCACACATATATACATAGGCATGTTCATACATAAATACATAGGAATGTTCACACAAACATACATAGGAATGTTCACACAAACATACATAGGCATGTTCACACATACAAACATAGGCATGTTCACACATATATACATAGGCATGTTCACACATATATACATAGGCATGTTCATACATATATACATAGGCATGTTCACACATACATACATAGGCATGTTCATACAAACATACATAAGCATGTTCACACATACATACATAGGCATGTTCACACATATATACATAGACATGTTCACACATACATACAAAGGCATGTTCACACATATATACATAGGCATGTTCACACATATATACATAGGCATGTTCATACATATTTACATAGACATGTTCACACATACATACACAAGCATGTTCACACCTACATACATAGGCATGTTCACACATATATACATAGGCATGTTCACACATATATACATAGGCATGTTCACACATACATTCATAGGAATGTTCACACATACATACATAGGAATGTTCACACATACATACATAGAAATGTTCACACATACATACATAGGCATGTTCACACATACATACATAGGCATTTTCATACATATATACATAGGCATGTTCATACATACATACATAGGTATGTTCACACATATATACATAGGAATGTTCACACATATATACATAGACATGTTCACACATACATATATAGGCATGTTCACACATACATACATAGGCATGTTCATACATATATACGTAGGAACCCTACACCAGATATTATAATCATCTTGCACCTGTGAAGGTAGGATATTCATTTGGACCGGGCTTCGATATATACAATTCTTATATATGAGGTCCCCGTTGATCTTTGTTGCTGTCTGTCACGTGTTGTGTTTCCAGTGTCAACAAGTATACACTTTATGACGTTCCACTGATCTGTAAGTAGCACGTACTGATTCCTTTGTTTTCATTTCCAAATCACAATTATGCATTCCTTAAACGTTTAAGTATCTTTGTATCTCCTTGTATATTTATTGTGTTTTTAATGTACTCAAGAAGTTCAATAAACAAATTTCCATTTTACAAACGGTTAAAACAACAGTCACCCTTTATGGCCACAGTGCCTATGAGGCACGAACATTCACTATTTATATTCCTTACCCGTGAAGATCCGGGGTAGAAGATAGGTCTTCAGCAACCCATGCTTGTCGTCAAAGGCGACTATGCTTGTCGTAATAGATGACAAACGGGGGCGGGTGGTCCATGTCATCGTATATCAATGACGTGGATCGATGCTCAAGGTGTCAATCACTGGATTGTCTGGTTCAGACTCGATTATTTACAGACTGCCGTCATATAGCTGGAATATTGCTGAGTGCGGCGTTAAACAACAAACAAACAATGTGTGTAAGGATGTTGTAATTTATTCAGTAAGCGTTCAGCGCTGTGTGTGAGAAACATTTTTCAATATTGTCTGATTTGAGCCGGTAGAACTGGTATGTGGTGGTAGTTTGGATGTAAATTAGTTATTTTTCAGTAATCCCTTCACACAATTGTCACCGCTACTTTGCCTTTTACGCCCAAATGAATCTGTTTCGGAGGATAATCGCGACTGCATATTCTCTGGTATGGTCGTTTTATTTGTACATTCAACGAGCGTTTGAATAGAAACACTCTTGAGAATATATATATACATGACCCGATCCAATTCAGTCACCCGGGTATCCAGGGATTGCTAGGTCTCTCTTTCGAGGTATTGCCAGACTGAAGGCACACAATACTACATTATTGATCGACTCATGCCTTCAGTGCGGCGTTGACCAACACAATAAACACAAAACAAAAAAGCACTTTTCATCGAGCAGAATATCCATGGTCGAATAGGTCCTCAGCAACCCATGCTTGCCGTAAATGGCATATCGTAAGAGACGACTAACGGGTTCGGGTTGTCAGGTTCGTTGACCTGGTTGATGCACGTCATCGTGTCCCAATTGCGTGGATCGATGCATTAGTCGTCATGTCAACCGCACAACAATTCCGTCAACACTCTCATCTCTTGTGCGCTTGAAGCGATGTTATCCTGCACGAATGAAATAGGTGAACGAGATTAGCAGAAAGAGATTTTGGTAAAATATATTGACATCAATAATAATGCGCCGAAAAGGGTGGCATTTAGACAAATTATTTCGCCTCGTGTGCGCTTAAGAGCGGAAAAACAATCGGATTATGGGTTATACACATTGCAGGTAATAAGAGAAGTGATGGTTTGGCAAAACGCTTTTCTAGTCTATTAAACGTGGGATCGGTGGATGGAAAGGATAATGTCAACACTTTAGAAGTAAATCCGATAATGCAAGATTTCCCGGTAAGCGAATTGAATTCACCTATGACTATTTTGGAAATAATTTATTATAATATTGGTAATAATAAATCTGGCCCAGATGGCGTGGCTGCAGAATTTTGAAAATATCTAAGCCTTTATTGTTATTAATTTTAACAAGATATTTGACAGTGGTCAAATCCCAGATGACGTGGGGAAGAGTATAGTGTGTCCCTTGTTTAAGTCAGGGGATAATGATAATCCCAACAGCTATCGAGGTAAGTAATTGATTGATGCGGTTTGTAAGTTTTTTTGTTCTATTCTTAACTTCAGGTTGCAGGGATGGTGTGATGCAAATAATGTTATAGATGGGGTACAAGCAGGCTTTAGATCTAAGTATTCAAAAAGTGCTAATATATTCTCGTTACATTCTATTGTCCAGAAGTATGCTGGTAAAAGTAAGGTAGGTTATAGTGTGTATTTATTGATTTTTCCAAGGCAGTTGACTCTTTAAAACACAATGTTTTATTTGACAGCCCCAAATAGATAGATAGATTTCTTGACAATATAATATCAAGATAAACAAAATTTTATGGATAGCAACCTCTTTAATACTGCTTTTCACAGTATTAAAGAAGTTGTTATCCATAAAATTGTGTTTATCTTGTCATCCGTCAACTTCAAAGTAATGCCTATCAAACAAATTATATTATCAGTGTATTCTAAGCTCAGTGCTTGTGTAAGGATTTAGAATGGCCTTTCAAATTACTTTGATTGTAATATCGGTACCCACCAGGGGTGCATTTTAAGCTCTCGACTATTTATCATTTTCATAAATCGACTTGTTAAAGTCATGGAAGACTGTGGTGGTAGAGGCATATTTGTCTCACTACGTTGCGATAATGTGTTTGCTTTAAGGTTTGCAGATGATATATTACCAATGGCTGATTCTTATTTACAATTACAAAAGAAAATCAATGCCTTTGAGAAATTTTGTGATGCCAAGGGTAGGAAAGTAAATTTTAACAAATTTAATTATTATAAAAAAATGTTTTTTTAATGGTAATCAAATAGAGGTAGTATCTGTTTATATATATATATATATATATATATATATATATATATATATATATATATATATATATATATATATTGGACTTTCTCAAAAACCTGTGTGAAGTAAAGCACATTTTTGTCTAACTTCACAAGCTAATAAAGCTCTAATGTACATTTATCGTTATTCCAAAAGGGATGGGGATATCTAGTCCTGCACCATGACCGTGGAATATATTTATTTTATGAAAAAACAATAATCTAGAAATGCATACAAAAGCAAGTCTAGCCAGCTCAAGCTAGCTCCATTCCACAATCAGCATAGGGAATTTTTTTTATTTTTAGAGTCAAGAAGGATATTGTGTAATATAAGATTTCAGAGACTAAATGTTAGTCTAGGGGATATCCCATGTAAAGACTTGTTCAAAATATTTGATAGTATGCTTGTCCCCATATTGTGTTGTGTTTCAGAAATATGGGGAGTAAAATATTTTAAAGAAATTGAAAAAATACAAGTAAAACTATGTAAATGGTTGCTGAAAGTGGGTGATAAAACTAAAAACGGTATGGTTCTTGGTGAATGTTGAGGAGTTCCTCTCCAGTTTGTTTATATGACTAGAGCAGTGAAATATTGGTGTAAAATTATTAATCTAAGTCAAAACAAATTACCGTACCAATGATATCAGATGTTGTTATCCTTGGATGAAAGTGGATTTGTTAATTGGGTTATCCATGCAAAAAATATACTTTTTCTGTTCGGTTTTGGATTTGAGTGGATAGCCCAAAATGTTGGAAATATAAACAGTTTTATAACCTTTTTAAGAAAATACTCTTTGATAAACTCTAGCAAGCCTGGATAACAGACATGTCCAATTCATCAAAGTGTAGGTACTATGCACATTTAAGTCTTTTAAATGTTAAATTGTACCTTTCATAAAATATCCCTGTTTACTTAAAGTCTGCTTTAGCAACATGTAGATGTAGTAGTAAAATGTATTAAGGGAAATCTATCTAAGCAACCATCTAACACATGTAAATTATCATTATCTATCTATCTATCTATCATCATGTAAATCTATTGGCATCTTCGAAGAATGAAGTATTGTAAAATGTAAGCCTGTATCATTATATAGTAATTAAGGAAAGTTGAACCTGTCACGCAATTTGTACAACTGTGCTCTAAAGTATCCACAAAATGTAAATCAAACAAGCATGCGTCTTCAAATGTTATTAAATGAGTGTATTATGGGCCTCTGGCCTTACACTGAATACATAATATCTCTCTGTCTGTCTGTCATTATTGACCCAACTGCAGCGATACATTTTTGCCATAAACAAGTGTGTAGTATCGCGATTGCTTTAAATCAATAAAACAAATATTGGCTGCTCCTTTTAAAGAAGTAAATGTTTATCGAGACATGTTTAGGATCTTAAAACATGAAAGAGGTCAGCGCAAGTTAGGTTAAGAGGAACTGTACACTTGTCACACATCGACAGGACACAGGTAAACACTTGATGACATTTATTGGCAACACTCGAAACGAACCGCGAAACCCAAGCGAGCCTCCCAACCCAGGCGAGCTACCAAGGGGAGCTAACTCCTGCTGAACCTACAAGTTTCCCCAAAAAGCAAACGGGTAAGAGTCAGTCCTTGCTGGGGACAGACGATTTTCGTTTAATACACCACCTTTCTTATCCTCAAGGCAGATCAATCAACGACAACATAGACAGCGAAGCATGCTCCGTGTCATATGCACGGTTCGATGAGGCTGTCAGAATGGTACAGCAGCTTGGTCCAAATGCTCTACTTGCAAAATTTGATGTGAAATCGGCTTTCAGGATTATGCCGGTACACCCTCAGGACTTTGAGTTGCTAGGCTTGTGCTTTCAAGGTAAATACTACTTTGATAAATGCTTGCCGTTTGGCTGTTCCATATCATGCTCAGTGTTTGAAAAATTCAGCACCTTTTTGCAATGGTGTGTCCAGCAAAAGTTGCCTAACCACCAACTCATGCATTACCTTGATAATTTTCTCACAGGCGGAAGACTGTGGTGACAACCTTGATACATGTCTCGGTACTTTCCAGGAGCTGGGCGTACCCGTAGCACATGAGAAGACAGTAGGTCCTGCATCCTGCTTAACATTCCTAGGTCTTGAAATCGACACAGTCAGGATGCAGGTTAGAATACCACAGGAAAAGATTGTAAATATCAACGCAATCATACACGATATGCTGGCCTCAGGTAAGTACAAAGTGACCCGTAAAGCTTTGCAGTCTCTGGTGGGTAAGCTAAATTTCATGTGCCGGGCAATACCCATGGGTAGACCGTTTTGCCGCAGACTGATTGATGCCTATACAAAGGTATGTCATCAAGCACACCGTGTTCGCATCACGCGGGGAGTTCGGGAGGACCTAGAGGTTTGGCTCGGGGTCTTGGGGGAATTTAACGGCGTTTCGGTTTTTCAGAATCAAAAGTGGGCTGACAATACATGTCTGCAGCTGTTTACTGACGCAGCCAGCACTATGGGGTTCGGCGCATACTATAACGGGAACTGGGCAAACGGGCTCTGGCCCCGTGAGTGGGTGGAGGACGGCTCGACTCGTGACTTGACACTGCTGGAGTTGTTTCCGATTGTGCTGTCAGTTTGTCTGTGGGGGACAGCCTTTGCTAACAGGAAAGTACTTTTCTTTTGTGATAACAAAGCTGTAGTGTCAATAATAAATAAACAGTCTTCAAAGGCACCCAGAATCATGTCACTGATTAGGCAGCTAGTGCTGCAGTGCCCCAAACACAACATTTTGTTCAACGCCAGATATATAACAACACACGACAATATTATCGCAGATGCACTGTCGAGATTTCAGTGGGAGCGATTCCGCAATGCAGCTCCATCAGCCAACCTGCATCCCACACCACTTCCAGACAATCTCTGGCAGGGCTAACAATCGAGGCAGAGAGGCTCCTTCAGCGATCATTGGCGGCAAACACGTGGGCAACTTACCAGGCAGGAACCCAAGCGTTGCAAGCATTCAAGGCGTCACAAAACCTGGGAGATGTCTGGCCGGTTCCAATCACTCATCTGGTACATTTGTCAGTGTCAGTGTCAGGACATGCACCGAGTACGGTAGGGACGTATATGGCCTGTATCTCAACGTACCATAGGCTACACAGCATGGAAGACCGCACTGGCCACTTTGTTAATACTAAAATGATTACCGGGATGCAAAAGTGTCAGGGGAGGCAGGATCACAGAAAACCAATAACAATAGACCTGCTCAAAGTAATTGTAAACAACCTGCAATTTGTCTGCTCTTCTACCTATGAAATAAGATTGTTCAAAGCAGTATATTGCTTGGCCTTCTTAGGTTTCTGTCGGGTGAGTGAACTCGTGCAAACCAAACTTTCTCAGCCAGGGTGCTCTTTCTTAGACCTAGAAGTCCAAGACACTACAAAGACCGTAACAGTCGCTCTAAGGCATTCAAAAACGGACAGGAGGTCACATGGTATAGTTGTTTCCATTTCCGCCATACCTGGCCACAATCTGTGTCCAGTGGCTGCAGTTAAAGCATACCCAACAGTTCGATCACAGGGTCAGACTCAAGTATGGTACACTTTGATAAATCTCCCCTGACAAGGTATCAATTTCAGGCCGTGCTAAAAAGAGCACTGGCGCATAGCGGCATCTGCACAGCAGCATATTCTTCGCATTCCTTCAGGATTGGCGCAGCAACGACAGCAGCCGGTAACGGAGTGAGTTCAGATTTGATACAGCACTTTGGTAGGTGGGGGTCAGAATGTTATAAAAGCTATATACGCATACCTGCAAACATTTAAATCGCCAACCATGCAAGAACAGTTTTCTTCCTATTGATTCATGTTTTCAGTATGGTTGGTTGGGTCCAGCTTCCTGACCCGGGCGAGAGAGCACCTACAGGACAGTGACTTCGGTATTCCAGGGGGATGTCTCTGGTTGGCAAGGGGCGGCATGCGGTTAGAGGAGCTGACCAAGCTGATAGATGCCCAGGGCAAAGCAATGCAGACACCACCAAAGGCGGTGGTGATTCACCTTGGTTCGAACGACCTTGGTAAGGTAACCACGTGTCAGCTATATCATGAGATCAAGCTGGCACTCCTGAGGATACACCTCCTCCTACCTGGTGCTGTCATTCTGTTGTCAGACATGCTGCCACGGAGGTACTGGCATGTAGCCAGCCGTGCCCGGGACCTGGACGGGGCCAGGCAGAAGCTGAACAGACGAGTGGGGAACAGGGCCCGTGAGCTTGTGGGGATACGGGTTCCGAACACAGTGTTCAACCGGCAGGAGCAGCAACTGTACCTGCGTGACAGGGTTCATTTGTCACCAGCCGGACTTGATCTATTCACACAAAACATTGGCAGCTCCCTTTCGCAGTATGCTTGTAGGAAACATTTTCAGTATAGGATAACACGGTGGGTGTACATGAGCGCGAATGGTCGTGGTTGTGGGGAAGCACCTTGGCGCTTGTGGCGGGGTGCTGGTGGACTGCATTACAAGTTACATTTGGCGTCTTGGGATACATCCCAAATTATAAATTATTTAGGATAGGGCTGCCCGCTTTACAGCTGGAACCAATTTATCAATTCTGCTTTACAGCAGATGGCTTAGTGTCCGCTTTCCAGCGGATGGTCAGCTTGGCAACAATAGTTGCCCTCGCTCATGGTTTGGCAATGGTACTTGCCTGGCAGCGATAGCTGCATAGCAACATTGGTTGCTTGGCAACGGTAGTTGCAGGGCAGCGGGCGCTGCATTGGTAAGCAACATGGGTTGCTTGGCAACGGTAGTTGCAGGGCAGCGGGCGCTGCATTGGTAAGCAACATGGGTTGCTTGGCAACGGTAGTTGCGGGGCAGCGGATGCTGCATCGGTAAGCAACATGGGTTGCTTGGCAACGGTTGTTGCAGGGCAGCGGTTGTTGCAGGGCAGCGGTTGCTGCAGTTGGGGCTGCTTAACAGGGGTTAAGCTCATTTCTGCAGTCCACCAGTACCTCCACATCCGCGACCATTTCATCCAATAATATCTCTTGTCTTAATTTGAAGTTCCGCTATCATGCATGATCAGAATGGAGCCATGTCCTTATATAATGGCAACACTCGAAACGAACCGCGAAACCCAAGCGAGCCTCCCAACTCAGGGGAGCTACCAAGGAGAGCTAACTCTGCTTACATTAATACATGCCAAGCAAACCTGCGTTGGCGCAGGATATCACTACATCTAATGATTAACTACTACTAGTACTCAAATTCATAATGTTTACATACTTCATATAGATTAAATTAAATATATGTCATAGAGGTACAAGATACCAAAAGAAAGCGATACAGTTTCTTCATAATACATATTTATACTAGAATTAATATCCGAAGTGTTGTTTTTTCCAATAACAATTAAATTGTTTGTCTATTTCAAGTTTAGAATCACTTTACTTGTACGCAGCAAATGATATTGTCAGTCGTCAGGCAACAAACAAACGCTAACGTTTTTGTGCAAATTGTGTGAGTGGCGGGTGCTACCGGTATGCCAGGACATGTTTACCATTTTCCCCCAAAAAAGTTTTCAGCTTCTTCAGTGATGCAGCCTTCAAATAGGCTGCTTCAATCAGAGAGTGTTATTGTGATTTGAAACATATGCTTGTAAAATACTCGATGTGGACTGGTTAAAAAACATCAGAGAGAAAACCACAAAAAAACATGAAGCATGTCATATATAGTTAAAGATTAGTTTCACACAGTGCATAATCTTTTTGTGGCACCTTAGGCAATAAGCAAACAATCGGTTTTGTGAGTCATGACACAACGTTTTTTACTTGACATTTTTATCAACCGATCTGCTATAACAAAACTGTTTAATGTAAAGTTCTGTGTAGAACATGTCAATATAAAGAATATAAGTTTTGTTTTGTTTTAGTGTTGGCGCCATGGCTCCATACAAGAAGGTATTCGTAATGATGTTATTGATAACACCGTTTGTAGCTCTTGTTACGTACATGAGCAGCTCCAACATCATGACCTCTGACATTCTCGGCAATATATCAAGACACATTTTCCAAGAGTATCCTCCATCAAGTATTATATCGGTTTATCCTATACCTAAAAACATCACACCATTCGATCAACATTCGAGTATCCTATCGCATTTATTGACAGGGCACTGGAAAACACATACTTTGACAAAAAAGGAAGATGAAGATATATTGAATTTTCTTTCTGACGTAAATGTCCGATATACCTTACCTAAGAATTATCAAAGGATTGATGGTCTCTGTGGAAATGTTACCCACACAGGATCTAAAACTGCTGAGTGGATAAGAGCCTTGTGTGATCCTAAAGGAACAACCCCGTGCTGCTTCAACAATAAATGTGCTAAGAAGTCTGTTGAGGAATGTGTGTGTCCTGATTGCTATGACATGCGGAACCAGAAACATGCTGAATATTCCACCTGGACCCCTTCAGACCCAAGACATGGCTACAAGGAACACAGCCCCCATGAAGCTTGCAGCATCCTTAGCGGAAGCATGATTCTGTTTGTTGGGGATTCTCTTGTTCGCTATGTATATACAGCTATGGTACTGCTTGTTACAGGGAATATGAAAGATGGAGCCATGAATCAAAATGTACCACAGAGTAAGTTCAAATAATTTATTGTGTGAGATCTTGAGGTCTGAAATTGAGAAACATTTTTATACCTGTACACAACTATGGCAAAGTGAAAAGAATAAAACAAAACATTTAAATAGATGAAACAATAAAATTGAGGATATCAATGTAACATGTCGGAGGAAAACGTCATTTTCTTAAATTTTCTGATTATATTTGATACTGTACACATATGATGAACACTTTCCTATAATATATATGCACTTTGTCGTCAAACGTATATCTTATAAATATGATTTGATCATTATTTGAGAAAAACTATATTCGAGATCATTCTTTTGGAATACCGTGTACATCAACAAACGTATCAAGGTCAGTTTTTTACTGACCGATACATTTGTGTTCAGAAGAAGTTGTAGTATTAAACAATTCATAAACAACCGCACCATTGATAATATATATGTTGATTATTTTTTCTTTGACTTGTTAATCTTGTTTTTCAGATGTTACGAACTTGTGTAGCGGAATGTATATGTTCACAGAAAAATTGTGTCGACTGCATCTGAGGTATCAGCTTCGTGCTTGCAACGGTACAGTTAACCTGGAACTGAAGTACTTCTTCTCTGCAACATATGGCCCACAATTGAAACAAAGTGTTGCAAATTTAAATAACAAGTCATTACTTTTTGTAGGTATAGGTCCACACGATCATTTTATCCATAATGAAGTTCAAAAGAAGTTTTTGTTACCAACACTTTCCTATATACGCAACAATACGAGACCTTGGCCAAAAGTACTGTGGGCAGCGAGTCATGCTCCGGGTGCGTTGAAGTCCCCGAAAGTGTTGGCCCAGTCGTACGACAGTGTAAAACGATACAATGGCAACATGGAGAGTTTCCTTAGATCTTGGAAAGTTCCTATTTTCGATACCTTTAACATGACGGATGGAATGACGAGTTTTGATGGTCTGCATTATGGACTTGGGATAAATGTTGTGAAAGCGAATGTAATATTGAGTTACCTAAATGAATTGAAAAATAAAGGATTGTGGCGAAACCTGTTGTAGTTGTCTCTTTTTTAGTTTCAGGGTTTTTTTTGCCAGAAAGTAACGAATAAGAAGATCCTTAATATATTTTTTTGGTACAGCCTGAAATCATATACATGTACATGCCGGAGATCATAATTCCAGGCACATTTTTCGTTAAACTCTACTGTATTATATATCAAATAGTTTCACGTTGTGGAACATATGTAAAGCTAAATAGGCATTTTACATCTTTATAAGTATCATTGAGGTTGGGAATCAGGTTTATTTTGCAACGTATCAGAATTAGCTGTGCAGAGTTGCGGCAATTAATGTTAATCATGGGTTCGAATCCAAGTTTGCCCTGATTCTGGGTTTGTCAGCACCATAACCATGGTCATGGGTTTCACCAAAGTGCTAAACCTCAAAGACCCGCTTCAGGTCGGTCTTTCCTCTCACATCAAGACATGGCGTGATAACTGAAACTGTTCGAAGTGACGTTAAAGCTAACTGTATTACACATATATGTTGCATTCAATAGATGAGAAAAGGTGTGGACAGGACATAATATAGTCATTGATATCAGTCTTTCCCATTTAAAGTGTGACGTCTTTAGGCATGTAAATGTATTAGATAGTCTAAATGTTTACTGTTCCAAAGGAAAATCAAATTTCTTTAAACGATAAATAATAACGGATGCTGTCGAAGCATATGCAAAATAGATATGCCAGAAGATGAACGTGTTGAATGTCTTTCAGAGTTTGTGTTGTTGTTTTCACAAGTTGCTTGTGCATTAAGTACATTTATAAACAAAGTCATATACATGTATATACTCACCCGTGAAGATGCGGGTTAGAATAGGTCTTCAGCAATCCATTCTTGCCGTAAAAGGCGACGATGCATGTCGTCCGAGGCGGGATCGGTTGCGGCAGGCTCGCTGACTTGGTGGATGCATGTCATCATATCCCAATTGCGTGGATCGACAAACAAACAACATGCTAAATAAAAGTGTGAAACACTATATGAACTGTAAAACTCTATATAATGTCATACTTTAAAGTTTACACTGTTTCTTTTATGCTGAGTGGCTGAATGGGTAGTCACCTGATCTGATATTTGGAGTTCACACGCCTGTGAACGGACAGAAAAGTTCTCACGTGTGAACATTGGCCGGAACTACTTCCCGGGGTTTCTCCGAACTTTCTGTTACAATTAATGCCTTCATTTTCCAGCATTATAATTAATTTAATATTTTTGCCTTGTCCTGTAACATTTTATCCGATTTAAAATGCATAAATGCTTTGGTTCTGGTGTTTGTTGTCGTCTGTTTCATGAAACAAAATGGTGATTTGGATATTGAATGGCTATCTATGGACACTAGTAACGCAAGTGAAAAAATGAAATCTGCAAAATTACTTAGGTGAACGATATTGACTTTGATGCTTTGTTTTCGGAAATGAGAGGAAATTAGCACCAAGGCAATTGCGAATGGCAACAATGCTGTACCCCCCTCAGATGTTGCAGCAGACACAGAGATCAAAGCGACTGCTCTTGATCACCCCCAAACTAAAACACGATTCGCTATTGTATCGGACGAAAACCCTCAAGATTTGGAGAAACAAAGGCACAGCAAAGCACTAAATGGGCTCTGAACATGCTCAGTGGTAAGCCAAATAAAATGAATCTAGCTTTTAAATAAATTGGGCATTAAAAGGTAAGGAAAGAAACTTAAATTTAACAAAACCTTTTTGCCAACCAGTTTTACAGTTTGGCCATCGCGGACGATAAAGATATCCGCAGACTGGATTTTTATTCCGGTTTCTGAGTTGGCCGACCTTCTATGTGCGCATTCTACGCCGAGAAGCGGCTGCACATGAGGAAGGACGGGGCACAGAAATTACGCTAGTATTAGGTCATACAGTAGGTCCATCTCAGTTGACAAGAATCACCAGCTAAGCAAAGTATTACAGGCAATCACACACGACGAATCCTGAACTCCAAACATAACACACCCTGACGTCCAAACACAAAACACACAAGTTTCAGAGCACTCCGTTCAATCACCACCAGTCCATTCCACATCGGTTAAAGGCGACTTTGCTTGTCGTAAGAGGCGACTAACGGGATCGGGTGGTCAGGCTCGCTGACTTGGTTGATGCATGTGGTCGTATCCCAATTGCGTGGATCGATGCTCATGATGTCAGTCACTGGATTGTCTGCTTGAGACTTGATTATTTACCGACCGCCGTCATATAGCTGGAATATTGCTGAGTGCGGCGTTAAACAACAAACAAACAAACATTCCAAATCGTCCGAATTGGTTTGCGATTATCCAAACACAAGTAACACCTTCACAAATCAATCATATTCCTAATTTGCGAGTGCCATGAGAGCTTTCATGCCTTTTCCTGTTCCCTAAATTTCACAGTAAGCAGTAAGTAAATTCTTATGATCCCGTTCGACTCTAAATGCACCTCTTTACAAAATTCAGTGACGTCATATAGAAATCAGCTCATGTTTATATTTTTATTCACTCTCCTGTTACCATGTTTTAAGAAAAGATTAATCCCACGTGTTATTTGTAAATTTGTTCAGAGAATAAAATTATGTTGATGTTGACATATTTTCAGCTTATGTTGTATATAGTCAAAGAACTATATTTCTTTGCGTAACTGAGTATGATTGGGGGAAAGTTTGTGACCGAGAGCCGGCAAAAATACCGACAAAGCAATCATTGTTGCAATATTATTCGGCCAAGCCAGCTTCACGCAGTTTAATCAGCGCTTTCAAATCGTTCACACTTGAATGAACCCATTCAAACTGAAGTTCAAATATTAAAGCATGGACATGACAATGCGGGGAAAACAGGACCAGGAAAGAGACGAGTGACAAGATGGCGGATTAGCCAGTGAACCGTGGTTGGGACAGACAAACAGACAGATAGCGTATTTGAGTCTCACCTCACGAAATATTTGCAAGGATGCATATAACAGGACATATAAGTGAGCCAACCGTAAAGGGTTACGAGAGACTTTATTTCCAACTTTAGAGGAGCGGTACCTGATCTACATTTGGAGAAGGCAGAGCGGTAAGAACGAGGCAAATACATACTTACATAACTTTCTCACCCATACACACCTTTAAACATTCTATTCTTTAAACCACCCGTTCTTCCGCCAGGCTTGCACAACAGTTCATTCCAATCAGACACATACTTTTCCGTGCATATATCATGGACATGTACAACTACACTTTTCGCGTTAACATTCCCATATATTCAGACCCCATTCGTTCAGCTTTGCCCTCCCTCACACGAAAATTCCAGTTTTTCACACGTCCACCAGCATGCCGTTCAGACCACATAAAACATACATATTTGATCCAAGGGACATTTTAGTAAAACGACAATACTGTCAAACAATACACATCCATTGTGTCTAAAAGGTCAGTACAAGCAATCACAACAACAGCCGTCATGAAAGCGTCAGTGCAAGAGGCGATAGGTATGACTCATCCGAGAACCGCTACACGACGTCAAGAAGACATGACTTCGGCACATAGAGCGGGAATAGCGGTGAAGACTGGTCACGTATTGAGCGACGTTTGTAGCGACCAGAACTGGGATAAACACCGTAGAGAATTATATCTCTGGCATGCAACTATGTGTTTAATTGACAAACATTTAATAAGAGCAAAATCATCTGCACTTCTTGTGTTTTGTATTTTTACTCCGTTCTGCAAAGTGCGCCAATGGCAATGCTACTGACTCGATATCCGACATTTGCAGCTAAATGTAGCAGCGTGTAAAAGTGGTAATGCGGAACTAAAGCGGAATACAATTTCTTCTTTTTATGCAGATCGCTCATGAAAAAATGCAATTCCTATAAAAATGGTCGTGTTGCTTATTATCTGTAATTACTGCCCATTGCCATGTTTAATTTCTAACCATGATATCACTCCCAAATTATATTATTTAATTGTCTATCATATCATAACCTTTGTGAGGTGGTGACATGTTTAATAAGGTGTTGAATAGCTATCTTGGCCACTTCTGAACACAGTGTTTTCCTACAAAATAGCAAAAATGAAAATATAATTATTCTCTATTTTATGTATTTTAAAGATGTTATGCCACTCATTGGTGGGGATACAAGCGTAATAATTCAAGATCCTAGGATGTTTGTGTTATGCTATTTTTCAAGAGTTATAAGAGTTGGACATATTTCTTCTCATACACAGTAACACAGCAGTTAAATGTCTAGGAATAAACACTCATGACATTGTACAATAGGCGATGATGTTCATATATATGTGGGAGGGTATGTACATCAATATAATAAAATTAATTATTTTGAATATCACTAAGTGTGTCATTAAACATCAATTGCAAACAATGAATACTCAACATGTCAGAGTTGAAAGAGGTACAGTTAAATTTGTACTATTCAAGGGATTTCTAATCCCCAATACCTCACAGCCCTCTGGCAACTGATGCGTGTATTTTTGTTTGTATTCTCAAGTCCCAAAGTCATTTTTTGTAAATATTACTATCATTATCATGTTAGATTTTAGTGGTAACAATTATTCAAAATCACTCCATTTGATTATTGTGTACATGATGATGAAAGCAACTAATTTTTATATTAATGTGGGAGGTGCATGTAACTGCTTGCAGGCATAGCAGATGCAGGATGTGAGAGAGTTTGTGCTTCATCTTAGAAGTCTGGCTCAAAAAATGAAAGAAACTAATCACATATAGAAATATTAGAGTAGAAATTGTTGAAAAAGATTTCTCTTGTAGAAAAAGATTCCTTTAATGTTCCTTTGATTCACCCACCACCTTATTCTTTTTCTCATTGTTATAAAGGAAAAAATACAATATGTAATACCCGGTATGAAAAATGCTCCTTCCTGGTCAGCATTGAAATAACTTGGAAACTCATTGAACCATTCCTGGTAGCTTATTGACATATATACGTTGAAGCTTTCATAACCGTTTTGCCAGCAAAATGTCCTCATATTTCCGGGGAGATCATATGGAATCTAAATGATATTATTAAATATGATTGAAATATTTAGAAAGGTTTCAAAATTACCAACTTAAGACAGATAACATATATTTAATAAACCCATTACTAACAAAGAACTGAACTTGTTATCTCATGCTCTGTCATCATTGACATTAATATTTGCAAGACAAAGCAACAGTAAGAGTTATCCTCCCTTCACAACTTGATCAAAATGGTCGTCTGGTCCTTGCTGTGCATGAAGGCCAAGTGGCGGAAGTTTCTAAGATAATATTTCTTTGAAAGAGGAGAATGTCAAGTTAAGTCATTATACCTTTACTTTTTACTTTTTTTTCTGTGGTTTCTATCAAGGCAGGTACAGACCTAGCACAATGTCATATATTGTGCAGTCAGTCCCTCCATTATAATCAGTTAGCCTATTACAGCTGTGAAGGGGACGAAGCTTTTTTTAAAACTATGTAGTTTCATATGCAAAGCTTATTGTCAAAGTACATGTTTCTCAAAGGTAGTAAATGTGAATGACAATGTTCAGAAAACAGAACTCTCAAGATTCCTTTCATTCTTGAAAGCATTACATTTATGCCACTTCTGGTCGAGGGGATGTGAGTAATAATATAATCAACAATCTCTTAACATTAGCAATATTGACCCATAGCATTCCAATTGAGGGGATATGAGTAATAATACAGTAAAAAAAACTCTTAAAATTAGAAATCTTGACCCATAGCACTCAAATTCTGCTCACAAGTTTGAAATATGATTTACTATCATCAGCCAAAAGAAGATCTTAAGATTCCATTAGTTGTCGAGTTTGTAGGTGTTATCCTATTTCCGGTCAAGGTTATATGAATAATAATATAGTAGAAAATCTCTTAAAAATAGAAATATTGACTCATAGTGTTCAGGCTTTGCTCACAAGTTTGAAATGTGATTTGCTATCATCAGCCAAGAAGAAATCGTAAGATTTCCTTAATTGTAGATTTTATTGGTGTTATCCCATTTCTGGTCAAGGTGATATGAGTAATAATATAGAAGAAAATCTCTTAAAATTAGAAAACTTGACTCATAGTGTTCAGGCTTTGCTCACAGGCTAGAAATGCTATTTACTATTATCAGCCAAGAAGAAATCTTAAGATTCCATTAAGTGTAGATTTTATAGGTGTTATCCTATTTCTGGTGAAGGTGATATGCGTAATAATATAGTAGAAAATCTCTTATAAATTAGAAATCTTGACTCATAGTGTTCAGGCTTTGCTCACGGGCTAGACATGTTATTTACTATCATCAACCAAGAAGAAATCTTAAGATTCCATTATTTGTCGAGTTTATAGACTTTATCCCATTTCTGGTTGAGGGGAGATGAGTAATAATATAGAAGAAAATTTCTTAAAAATAGAAATATTGACCAATAGCATTCAGATTCTGCTCACAAGCTAGAAATGTGATTTACTATCCGCAGCCAAAAGGAAATCTTCAGATTCCGTTAACTGTAGATTTTATAGGTGTTATCCCATTTTTTGTCGAGGGGATATGAGTTATAAAATAGCAAAAAATCTCTTAAAATTAAAAATATTGGCCAATAGCATTCAGATTTTGCTAAATGTGATTTACCATCAGTAGCCAAAAGAAAATATTAAGATTACCTTAATTGTAGTGTTTAAAGGGGTTATCCCATTTCATGTCTAGGCAAGATGATTAATAATATAGTCAAAAATCTCTTAAAATTAGAAATATTGACCCATAGCACTCAGGTTCTGCTCACAAGTTTGAAATGTGATTTACTATCAGTCAAGAAGAAATCTTAACATTCCATTAAGTGTAGATTGTATGATGATATTGTGTATAAAATGTCCTAGGTTGATTATGACCTGTGAACATCTGTATTGATTGATGTATTACCACCTTCCTTGGAAATGTGTATTTGTCTATTTCTAGACTTGCTAAAGCCAAACTGGGGAACGTGGAAATTGGTAGTTTATACTGAAGGGTTCATTGGTCTGTTGAGGGTTTAAAACAACTGAATACAGGCAAGCTACTGCTAGCACTGACTCTACACGCTAGCCATAAACATGTCACCAGAGGATTCCCTAATTACTACTGAATAGTTGTCTGTTCAGATCTCTTGCTGCTCAGAAGATTGTTGATACTTGAATTCCAAGAAGGAACTGGCTCTATGAAGGGTGTGAGAACCTCAGTGTAAATTTAAGCAAGGTCATTAGCTCATATAGTTAATGATTTTACTTTACTGGAATTATTTGAATTCCCTATTGGAATGAACACAAAAGAAGATTTAATAATATTTTGTGAAATAATTTGTAAATCTGTGAAATTTAGATATGATTGTATATGGCAAGGTTATGTTTTAACTTTTGTAATGTCCACTTGTCTGGAGTGTATGTCCAAAGTTACAGATAACCTATGAGTATCACTAACACTGATCTTTCTCATCGATAATGTTGTGGCAAGCCAATGATGCAGCTTCCAAAACAAAAACATATTCAAGTACGGTAGTTGCAAGAAGCAGTATTTGACAAATTGTTATAACGAGCAACACTGTTTTGTACTGTGTGCCCAATCACAACAACTGCGCAAAATTCTGTTTAGAGTCTGGCTGTAAAAAGAATATTCATATCATTATTTTCAAGAAGTTACATGCATACAGTCTTTAAGCTGATATCTTCAAAACTTATATACTAAGCGACAATGAGAATAACTGCCTTTCAAAATAAGGCATGTTTTCTTTTTGTCCCACATTTTATTGCAGGATTCAAATTAGCTTACCATATTGCTGCCGTACAGTCATGACTACTTGGTGCAGACAGAACTAAATGACAACACAATAATAATGATAATATTATCTTAAAGAACCATACTGTTACGCCTTCATCGTTTACGAACTAACCATTAACATTTTCTCTATATGCTGATAGATATTATTATGATGCGAAGGTCATTGGCCTAGAAAAGAAGTTCAACAACAGATCATCAGATACAGGCATATGGAAAGCTGTAGATATGGAGACCCGTTACATGTGATACAACCAAAAAACAACACATTATA